TTCCTTTTTGTTCCTTAATATCATTGTATAAAGTTTCTAGCTCATTTCGCTTATAATGTTAAAAGTTATATTATTATATTGATAATTTGTTTAGATCAAAATATATTTAACATCATTCCCTAGTTACGCCCGTCAGTCCCTAGCACAATTAAAAGCTAGGGCCTGATGGTCTAGGGACTGACCCTTTGGAGTATATCTTAAGACAAATTGCAGTTTAACTTCTAATTAAATAAGTTTAATACGATGTACCAAAGAGAACCGACAAATCATACGTAAATATTGTTTAATTATCATCAAATTTCTATAATAAACAATAAAACTACTTACCTAGGGAATGACAAAGTGACTGGATCAACACGTGTTCCGGGAACAACTGGCACATTTGCACTCAATTCAAAAAATGGCGGCTGCTAAGTGAGTATGGCATGAGGATAACTTCGTGTCGTACTTTTAAATCAGCTAGACGTTACTCACTCTTTATTCATATTATGGCGCGAAATTTGTAAATTTTAGCGAGGCTAGGGACTGACGTAAAAATCAAGGACACTTTTTTTACTTCAGAAAATCGAATTATTTTTTATTGAAACTAAAAAAATTTAAAAGAATTTAGTGTATGTACGATAAACTAGATAATTGTTAAATAAAATTACGTATATAGTTGATGTATCTGTAAACATGGGTGCCCAAACATAAATTTCTGGAGTGCGGATATGGCAAGGGACTGATATTTTGGGGTCTTTAGTGGAGATTTCAGATTTATTTTAAATATATTTAATTCTTAATTTATGGGTAATGAATAGAACACTTTGCGAGCTGTTACTTAACAATTCTCGAACAAAATATAACTAATCATACTATATGAAATGTGTCGCGGACAATGAGTTGTACTATTTTTGTGGAATGACCCATATACTTTTTGATTAACACTGTTATTTTAATTATATTTACCGAAATATATTGCTTTTCTTAAAAAAAGTATACTCGGCATTTATATCGAGTTACTCGGCCGAGTATGAGTATCAACAAACCCGCCGAATACGCCGAGTAACGAGTATCAACCGAGTACTCGGCATATCTCTAATACGCACCAACTTTACTTTTATCGCGGAAAATGAAAGTAGATGTTTATCAGTTGTCTGGGTCTCGTATAAGTTTTGCTCTATCGTATTATATACTATTCGACTTTCGGAAACTATACAAAAACTAGTGATTAAAGTCAAAAGTTTTCTGCCCTGCGTTTTAGTTGCTTTATGTATGGTGCTCGTTGGCATACTAATTGTTCTGAATTATGGGAGCGTGAAATTAGTTTTGTTATATACATTTAGCTGTCGTAAAATCGTTTAAATAGTTAATTCGTAATTTTTACCGATTTATATATTGAGCTTACTATTAAAAAAATACTTGGTCATATCCAGTTGTGGTTGACTTTGTACATCATAATGTAAATTGTAACGCTATTGTAAAACTGTTTGTTCACCCAAATAAAAAAAACGATTGCATCGAAATATTGTGAATGTTGCAGGATCAGGGTCTAAAAATATTTTAGGAATAAATTTGACTAGACGCCCTAGATATTTCTATACATTGCCAAGGTATTGTATAGAACACCTGAATTGTACAGATTGCCGCTAACATAAACAAACTCGTGACGTAGGCTTACCAAGATTACTAAGAACTTAGATATTTTTAATTATGCCGATAGATCAAAAAGACGATAATATTTTATTGATTTTATTAGCAATAAGATAAACATTATCTAGCCTATCAAAGTAATATATACATATATCGCAGAAACATATCTAGGAATGTACCTATAGTACCTACCTAATACGATAGTAAATCCTGCGCCGAAAATAAATAAAAAAACTACTTGAAAAAAAAACACTTAAAAATAATACTTGTCTAAAAGGTACTATTTTTGTAAAAGAAACTTAAATAAAACTTTCATTCTGAACAATTTACCATTTTACTTAATTAAAATAGTCTTTAAAGCATACTATTATTGTGATAATTGCAATAATTTATGTAATTAATACTTAATTTTTATCTTACATCTCTCATCTTCCGCTCTTTCACAGGATAATGTCTTTCGAAAGTTTGTGATATTAGCAGGCCCCCAAGTAGTACCGTCAACCGGGGTTACTTTGACTTCAAGGGTAACTTTGACAGTTTTTGGGACTACTTTAACATTGCGTCGAAAACCACTGTTAACGTGTGCATGTTCCTATGCTGCTTAAAAGATTGACGAACGAAAATCTTCGCTAGATCTGCAAATGCGATTTTAGATTTTATTTCAATGCTCCAGACTGGATTCGTTGCATTACATGTAGCATGATTGTGGGTCTGCGGCATGTGCAATAAAGGGTCAAAAAATCTAGCCTATGAGTGTGTTGTCTGCGAACACGTATATTATTTTTTTTATTAATTTATCCTTACCTCAGGTCCTTGCTCACAACAAACACAGGGGCTGAGAATTTATTATTTTTAAATTTTATGTTCCTGATCTTTTTAAGATTTTTAAGTTTTATTGTCCAAAGTGTATAAGATGTTTTTTTGTGATCTCAAAAGTTTTATCAAAGCCTGATTAAGTATTAATAGTATCATAAGAAAAGAAGCCAATGATAGTATCATAAGAACAGAAGGAATATCTTTGTTAAGTTTTTCTTTAATAAAAATTGACAATTAGATTGAAAAAAACTGTTTTTCATTTAATTTATCGTTTAAAGTAAAAATATTGTTTTTTTTAATTAAAATGATGTCAATGTAACCCACACGTTAGATATCTTTGACAATATATTCTATACTCAATTTAAGGCCATGTTAAAGAAACCCCACACACGGGGAACTTTGACATGAAAATAAAAAAAATAAATAAAAATTTTGGGGTGAAGTAAGGCTCAACTTTTGTATGCATTCTATAGCCCAAAGGACACATTGCTCTATTGGAAAAAACCGGGATGACTTTCAACCTTTAAATAAAAGTTATATAGAAATAACTTCTAAAACCAGTTCAAAGTAACCCCGATTGACGGTACCTATGCGATAAATTGCTTGTTTTGTTTGATAATAATCCATACTAGTCCGTATTATATTGTGGTTTTGAACCGGTTCAAGCGCGTAGGCATGTTATTTTAAGATTTTACGTTTTTGCATTACAGATCTCCGTCATCACTAGACTGAGATGGTAATCTATATGGGCTTATCTATAGAATGATTTCCTATCATTCAGTAGTCTCTAAGATGCGATGATCATTCTGTAGAAGTTAACGCAAGTGTGTGTACATCCAAAATTAATGATTTTGTGCAAAGATAACGTTAAAATGTGCTGTAACTTAAAATGAAAAAACTATAAATTGTATAATGACACCTAAGAGATTATTTGTACTTGAACGAAAATTCTGAATTTTTCAAATCGTTCTTGTTATAATGTTATCCGTGAAGATTATCTGTGCATCAGAGGCAGTGTTAGGTCCTACCTCCGTTATTATAAGTTATCGAAAAATGCGCTTCTTCGAACGATTCACATCGAACGAAAATGCGTTATCGGAGGAATAGAATAGAAGACATGTGTCATGTTAATTCGTACGAGTAGTATATAAAAAAAATATATATATCATATTTTTTATTAGAACCAGTGCCAGATCCGGGCTTGACCCGTGTCTTTGCAAACTGGCCATCCAAGGTAATTCATCGTCTTAGATTTGGTTATACCTATACCTACCTATTCTAAATTCGTCATCAAAAAATATACCCCAGTTGCATTAAAGTATCGAATTATTGGATTAGCGTTTCAAAGTTACACGATTTAGTAAAAACACAAAGCCCGAAGGTCTAAGAGTAAAATCGAATGAGGAAATTTAATGTGATGATATCTTCTTCACAGGAAAATAATAGTTATCCTTTTTCATTTGTATCAGTTACAAAACATCACGGAAGTCAGAAACAATGGTTGTTTATTTAGAGGAAAACAAATTGTTTTCACCTAAACTTGTTTACATTTGCGGCGCGTACAAATAAGTAGAATTTATTTTGTTTAAACTTTTGAATGAATTAAGGAAATTTCCTGTTAAAATATTATTACCTATAAGTATATATTTTCAACGATACTTAAATTTAGTGTTATTGTAATATTATGACAACCTTAGAAACATTCGTTTAAGATATTAATCGTTTTTTAATCGAGTCAGTTTTATTTTTGTATGTTTAAGAATTGCACTATATTAACCACTATTCGAGAAATGTTTAGATTTTGATTAAATTTATTCCTTCATTAAATTACGCCTATATATGAAATTTATACCTACATATTTGTAGGTACGCAATCAAAATTAATACTTAAAAAATCATCAACACTTTTTTATATCTTTAATACAAACGTAAGTTATAAAAAGCTTTGACAAGTGCTTGTAACAGCCTCGAGTGAATAAATAATTTTGATTTGTTGTCGTTTAATATCGAAATCGGATGCGAAAAAAGTCAAATTAAGTACTTCATAAGAAACCTTTTCAAAACATAATTAATTAAACGAGGCAATATCATATAAGGAACTACTGTACTAGACAATGAAAATCTTGATTTTAGGGACATCACCATTACCGCCTATAATACCTTTTTACCTGCCGAAGTTGACGATGACTAATGTTTATTACTTACTTTTTTCGCTTTAAAAACTTATTATATCTACTGAATATCTTACCTTAATTTGCATGACGTATAGTTTATTAGTTTAAAACTCCTTTAAGCACCAAGCATTCAAATAACACTTTTTTTTGCACATTTTAAAAGTTAAAATAACACTCCATACAAAAAAGGATCGGTACCTCAATCGCTGCATTGCCGAGAAAATGCAACACATGATTTTTCGCAGCAATATTCCACATATATCCAAATCGCCTTAAAATTTCGTACTGTAGTACAACTTTCAGTAAGAATTGTAGGACGATTCGTTACGTGGTCAGAACTTGTTTGAAAATAATCTTACGAATGTTTTCAATTCTCACCTCATTGTGGGAATGTGACACAACAGTTTGCGCGCGACGACGCAGAGAGACTGCGCGGGCGCACAAAACTAAGGTCGTTTAGCAATAACACTCTTTTTCCTATAGCGGTTAATGTAATTGTTCGTTGACATTCAGCTTAAGATAGTTTAAAAGAATTTAATATTATTAAATACAACGGTATATCAGCAATAAAATAATTTGAGATAATTTTGAATTGTTGAATATAATTATTTAGAGGCAATAAAATATACTAAGAATTATTAAGTAGACTAAAGATATGTACTGTAATATAAGAAGGAAATTTGGGAATAATATTATCTGCTAAAACTTAGCAAGCAGTACTGCAGAATTTAACCTAAAATCCTTGTATTTATAAGACGCGCATATATACAACTAAAGAATTGACATTGAAAATCAGGAATCGAATAACATATTGATACTCCCCGTCCAGTTAATCTTAACTCTCTTCTTACTATTTCTGACAAACCTGGCTTTCTATGTCTTTGCAAATTTATTAAAAAACATAATCTCATATTATAAAAATAAGTATTGCAAAATTCTCTTTTATGTATTTAAATATAGTAGTTATAGTGTTATTTGCTTTTGTGTTGTCCTTTTATGTATTTAAATTATTGTAGTTATAGTGATATTTGTTCTTATGTTTTTTTTTTTAGTAGAGAAAGAACAATCTCATGGTAGAATTGGTTAATTATATCTACCGTTCAGTCTCTCGAGTCACGTGTCTCTCTCACGGTATGCTGGCAAAATTTCCGTGTATAAGTTATACAACGCAGGAACTTGCGAGTTGTCAACGCAGGAACTTGCGAGTTGTCTGCATGCTTTTCAAAATCCTTTACGATCCATGTACCCCTGGATATGTGAAGTCTAGGTTACAATATCTTGGTTCCAGTCATTAACGTGATTTTCACTTAGTAGCAACCTCATTTTTCAAACTCTCGTTCATTACACTGATTTTGTTTCTAAATCCTTTACTCTGACAGCTATTCGCCTTTGAAATGCTCTTCTCTTCTTATTTTATGTATGCTTGTAGTTTGTCTCATGTCTGTAACTAAATAAATCTATCTCTCTCTCTCTCTTCCAGCTCATATTAAAAATGCTCAGAGTAGAATGGTTTTTAAGAGATTGGTGTATGAGCACTATCTTCATGTGTAATTATTTCATATGCGTTCTGTATTTTATTTTTTTATGTATATATTTATATTTTATCCATATTTACATATATGTATATTTGTTTGGGTATATATAGTATTATGTATCATGCTTTTATTAATTTGTTTATATCTAAAAATGTTTGGCCACACATCCTGACTCCAACACCTTTTTCTGGTAGACTGACAGAGAATGCCTTTGGCATTAAGTCTGCCTTTTGTGTTAAAATGCAATAAATAATAAATAAGTAAACTTATATTTATATAATTACAGAGAATAGTTCCAGTTTACCTATAAGAAGTTTATAGTTTTTACAAACGCTCTCTGCGCGAGTACTCAGAATAATAACTGAAGCGCGAATAATACTTTACTAATTGAGCGCCAGTGTCTCGTTTTTGGTAGGTTTTTTAAAGAATCAATCGTCGATTGTTTTTTGAAAAAAAAATCGTTTGATTTTTTTTTAACTTCCTTAATATCCTCATGTAGAAGAAATTCTAGCTTGATATAGAGTCACACGTGCAAAGGCGAAGTCAAATTGCCGTACCAGCAATAACTTTTATTTTATTACATTTGATAAATCTTGCAATTACAATGGAACTTATATTGATATTTATTTTATGGAAATATAATAAGGTACTTAAAAGTAATTAATTTTTAAATTATATTTCTACGAGATAAATATTTATTTTGCTTAATATTAAAACAATGATCACAAAAATTTAAACGCATTTTTTAGGTGAAAACCATTTACAAAAATCCCTTGGGTTCATTTATTTATTGTCATTGCATTTAACCGTTAACCGATTATAAAAATACAGAAATAAATCTGCTAACCCATTTACCGATTGAGTACCGTACCGTGTTCAAAATGACACTAGTACGACCTAATACCTACAAGTTAACCCGTAGTAATCCGATCCAATAAAATGGCGTTGATGGATCCAAGAAAATTTTAACTATAATATTTATATTCAGACAAAAAGTAGATTAGTCAGTAGCTCGGTGGCGTAGTGGAGTGGATAAGTGCCGCGGCCCGCGATCGTTGTCGTTAAGCAACTTTCGCAAGGGTCGGTCACAGGATGGGTGACCAAAAAATTATTATTTCGAGCTACTCTGTGCTTCGGAAGGCACGTTAAGGCGTTGGTTCCGGCTGCATTTGAAGTCGTTAATACCCTCCAAACCGCATTGGGCAAGCGTGGAGGGCGTGACCCATCCTCCTCAACCATCCATAAGGAAGGCCTGAGCCCCTGCAGTGGGGACGTAAAAGGGCTGGTGATGATGATGATGATGATGATGAAAAAGTAGTTTTGCGGAACAAATTCAATTCGTTTCTTCCACTAGTTTTATAAAAAAAATCTTTGCCTGCGTTGTTCTGTATTATAGGTATTAACATCAATAATCAATAAATATATGATAATAGACAATACACATACATAATTCAGATTCCAAGATGAGAGTAATCTAAGACAACGAAGGTATCACAACTCCCAGACCCGAGACAATGTAGAAAAGTCAATTTTATACATCAACCCGACTGGGAATAGATCCCGGGACCTCAGATGATTAAACCCTGCGCGTGAACCACTCTGCTAGGGAGGTCGTCAATTTTCAATCACTCTGTACATTGATGAAAACTATATTAAAATACGTTGTGTAAGTAGTTTAAGCGTACAGACAGCGGGAAGTGATTTTGTTTTATACGGGAGAAATAAATATATGTGTAATCACCGTCAGATATATGAGGTAAACTTACTGTTGAGGGAATTTACTTTTATGATAAAGGAGGAGAATCTTATTGACATCATTTGTCTTATCAACATATACTTGTAAGTGATAGTAAATAGAAGATGGCACGTAATGTGCTTAGGTATTACTTTATTGGCCATGGCTTAAATTTCATATGAGCGGATACCTACCAACTAGGTAGCATTTTTATCAAATTGGCTTTAGTGAAATCCTGTATAGTTTTTTTTATAGTTTATTAGGCGATATATACTTATTTCTATGTTTATTAATTTCTGGAAACCTTTAAGAGTATATTTTCAAATTTTTAAACTTTTTGGCACTTTTTCAGTGCTCGAGTCTGAATTGCTTTCGGCCGGTTTTTTAAAGTAGACAAAGTGGAGCTTGTCCCGCCCTCAAACCTGCTAAGAAAAAAACGAAATTAAATAATCTATACTAATATTATAAAGAGGAAAAGTCTAGCGTTATCATGATGAAAAAACCAAACCCCTTCTATTGATTAATCCTGACTGCTTTCTATCAACTTTTTGATTTAATCTTATCAGTTGTTCGTAGTAGAGTTCATCAGAATCGATGGTCCTGCCTGGCGGTAACAGCTCTGAAGAATGCCCTTCCAATTCCACCACACCATCACCTTGTTGTGAGTTAATCCGACTTTCGCCACAGTCTGTGAAGCCTGACCGACCATCGACCACGATCTTCTTCGCACGTTCTTCTCGTACATGGTCCACTTTTTATCACCAGTTATCGGCTTCTTCAAATATGGCTCAGTTTTTTTTATATTTTTTTTATTTTTTCTGTTCATATTTTATTTTTGATTATAGAGACAAGCTGTCCGTCTTTGGATAAGACGAGAAAGCGAGGAGGGGAATTTGAACGCTCGGAGTCGTAGCGGTCGTAGACCTGAAAAATCAGATACTCAGCGAGTCTTCATGAGACGGAGTTATGAGGAATCTGGCTTTATACCAACGCGTTATTTTGCCGACATATTTGACGTGACTCTCCAAACCATTAGAAACCATTTACATTACATGGGCTTACATCACAGGCGTTATGCAAAGAAAATTTATATGACTGACGCTCATAGAATGGCCAGATTAAATTTCGCCATAGAATATTTGGATTTTGATTGGAGTAACACTGTTTTCTGTGACGAGAAAACTTTAAAATCCAGTCAACACGGGCGTCTACACCTTTGGCGATTCAATAAAACGCGATACACGCAAAATCATGTCGTGCCAAATAGAGAATCGGGTCGTATCTCGGTAAATTTGTATGGATGGATGACTGCTGATGGTGTTGGAGACTTGACCTTTTTGCCACCACGAGCAACGGCATCAGATTATGTTGATGTTCTCCAGAATGCTATGTTGCCATCCGTCCGGAACGTTTATCCAGAAAATGAAATGCGTCAATTTAATTATTTACAGGATAACTGTCCCTTACATAAAGCAAGGGTAACACGTGCTTGGTTTGATGCACATCCGGAAATAAACTTGATACCATGGTCTGCAAAATCGCCAGATCTCAACCCTATTGAAAATATGTGGGGTCTTATGGTTCAGAGATGGTGTAACCGTAATGAACGAACAGCAGAAGCACTACAAGGGCACTGCAATGAGGTTTGGGAGGAAACACGTGGGTCTGATATCTGCTCAAGACTGGTGGGCTCGATGAGGGAACGTCTCCAAGCTGTTATAGAGGCAGATGGCGGCTACACAAGATTTTAAGAATTATAATTTTATAAAAGAATTATATATATTTTTTAACAACCAAAGAATTAGCATTTTCACTCTCTCTTCTAGTTTTAGCCCTTGTCTCGCACTAAGCTATGGGTCGGCGCAATATGTTTTTCGTCGCTATTCATTTCTGTTATCCGTTATCTCAGTATATTCAGACCTATAACACGCATAGCTTCTTACGCATAGCATTTCACTACCTACTGATTTCTTTTATTTGTATTAAAATATAATTAATCTACATTCTAATGTAGGATATTTGTAGACTATAAGACTTTATTTACGACTAGCTGTGCCCGCAACTTTGTCTGCGTGGGAAGTATTTTGGTAGAATTTTTTTATTCCTATGGATGGAGTCGAATCAAATAAGATCAATGGGCCATAATTTAATGCGGATCGG